TCACTCTGAGCCTTTATATACCCTCTGTGTCCATGTATTGTTTGTAATAGCTTGATAAAGCTCCTGGAGAGCGAAACGTTGCCACAATAGAATGTCTTATTAGTTGCACTTGTGTCCTTTTACTTTACAACCAGGCTGTTATTGTTGCCCTGCTGCCCCACATATCCATCACAGCCTGGTTGATCTGGTACCTGGTGAAGATACTTGTCCAGTTTCATCCCAGCAGTTTCTGATATTGTAGATGAATGGTTCACAGAACCGACACGTTAAACCATACCCCGGTCGGGATTGAACCCGCGGTCAGAGAGTCTCAAAACTCCAGCCCGTCGCGGGTTCAATCCCGGCCGGGGTATGGTTTGTTTGCAATCGTTGTTAAATTAGACACATGTGCAACTCTTGGTTATCATTCTCCTCCTGTTCTTCAAGTTTCTCCTTTGTATGGACTGATGAAGCCACTGTGTGGCGAAACGTTTCCTCAATAAAGATACCCAAGAGTTGCACATGTGTCTAATTTAACAAAGTTTCTGATATTTTCTCGTAAGAAGTTGAATAATCTAGAGCCACGAATGTTGATACAGTGTTCCCTTATTGTGCTCACTGCTCCCCTGCTTTTCACTGGGGTTATCTTGCACTGTGTCTTATTCAATAACTTATCGGTATTACGTACTTTTGAGGTAATGGTAAGATGTAGGAGAGCATTCAGCACATATTTTAAGAGGAAATACAACGCAGGATTAAATTTGTTGAAGAAGCACTCTTTAACAGGCACCTAAGTACCCCTGTCTCCTAATAACATGTTCTTTTTCCACTGTAATCTACCTTGTACATAATTACTACCACATTTTCTCTGTTTCGTAAGGTGAAGTCCAGGATCTTTACTTAATTTAAGGTATAACTTAAATATTTGATAACAGTTGTTAAGTTATACTATGAATTAAGTAAAGATCCTGGACTTAACCTTACGAAACAGAGAAAATGTGGTAGTAATTATGTACAAGGTAGATTACAGTGGAAAAGTAACATGTTATTAGGAGACAGGGGTACTTAGGTGCCTGTTAAACTCTCATGCTGGTCGAAGTGTGTATGATTTGTTTCTGTGTTGACTCCTTGTTTGGTAGCGTGGGTGGTTGAAGCAGACGAAGGAATGGTGGGAGGAAGAGATGGATAGAGAGGAGTTATGGGAGAATGAGAGATTATTAAAGGAGAGGAGATATTGCAGGGGGAGAGAGGAGAAAAAACGTAGAGATGAAGTGACAGACATGCTACTTCTCCAGGAGTGCCAGGGTGGCTCTGGTGGCTCCCTCCAGGAGTGCCAGGGTGGCTCTGGTGGCCCCCTCCAGGAGTGCCAGGGTGGCTCTGGTGGCTCCCTCCAGGAGTGCCAGGGTGGCTCTGGTGGCCCCCTCCAGGAGTGCCAGGGTGGCTCTGGTGGCTCCCTCCAGGAGTGCCAGGGTGGCTCTGATGGCCCCCTCCAGGAGTGCCAGGGTGGCTCTGATGGCCCCCTCCAGGAGTGCCAGGGTGGCTCTGGTGGCCGTCTCCAGGAGTTCCAGGGTGGCTCTGGTGGCCCCCTCCAGGAGTGCCAGGGTGGCTCTGATGGCCCCCTCCAGGAGTGCCAGGGTGGCTCTGGTGGCTCCCTCCAGGAGTGCCAGGGTGGCTCTGGTGGCCCCCTCCAGGAGTGCCAGGGTGGCTCTGGTGGCCCCCTCCAGGAGTGCCAGGGTGGTTCTGGTGGCCGTCTCCAGGAGTGCCAGGGTGGCTCTGGTGGCCGTCTCCAGGAGTGACAGGGTGGCTCTGGTGGCCCCCTCCAGGAGTGCCAGGGTGGCTCTGATGGCCCCCTCCAGGAGGTGCCAGGGTTTGGTTTCTGGTGGCCCCCTCCAGGAGTGCTAGGGTGGTTCTGGTGGCCCCCTCCAGGAGTGCCAGGGTGGCTCTGGTGGCCCCCTCCAGGAGTGCCAGGGTGGCTCTGGTGGCCCCCTCCAGGAGTGCCAGGGTGGCTCTGGTGGCCCCCTCCAGGAGTGCCAGGGTGGCTCTGGTGGCCCCCTCCAGGAGTGCCAGGGTGGCTCTGGTGGCCGTCTCCAGGAGTTCCAGGGTGGCTCTGATGGGCCCTTCCAGGAGTGCCAGGGTGGCTCTGATGGCCCCTTCCAGGAGTGCCAGGGTGGCTCTGGTGGCCCCCTCCAGAAGTGCCAGGGTGGTTCTGGTGGCCCCCTCCAGGAGTGCCAGGGTGGCTCTGGTGGCCCCCTCCAGGAGTGCCAGGGTGGCTCTGGTGGCCCCCTCCAGGAGTGCCAGGGTGGCTCTGGTGGCCGTCTCCAGGAGTGCCAGGGTGGCTCTGATGGCTCCCTCCAGGAGTGCCAGGGTGGCTCTGGTGGCCCCCTCCAGGAGTGCCAGGGTGGCTCTGGTGGCCGTCTCCAGGAGTGCCAGGGTGGCTCTGGTGGCCCCCTCCAGGAGTGCCAGGGTGGCTCTGATGGCCCCCTCCAGGAGTGCCAGGGTGGCTCTGATGGCCGTCTCCAGGAGTGCCAGGGTGGCTCTGGTGGCCGTCTCCAGGAGTGCCAGGGTGGCTCTGGTGGCCCCCTCCAGGAGTGCTAGGGTGGCTCTGTTGGCCCCCTCCAGGAGTGCCAGGGTGACTCTGATGGCCCCCTCCAGGAGTGCCAGGGTGGCTCTGATGGCCCCCTCCAGGAGTGCCAGGGTGGCTTTGTTGGCCCCCTCCAGGAGTGCCAGGGTGGCTCTGGTGGCCCCCTCCAGGAGTGCCAGGGTGGCTCTGGTGGCCGTCTCCAGGAGTGCCAGGGTGGCTCTGTTGGTCCCCTCCAGGAGTGCCAGGGTGGCTCTGGTGGCCGTCTCCAGGAGTGACAGGGTGGCTCTGATGGCCCCCTCCAGGAGTGCCAGTGTGGCTCTGGTGGCCCCCTCCAGGAGTGCCAGGGTGGCTCTGGTGGCCATCTCCAGGAGTGCCAGGGTGGCTCTGATGGCCCTCTCCAGGAGTGCCAGGGTGGCTCTGATGGCCCCCTCCAGGAGTGCCAGGGTGGCTCTGATGGCCCCTTCCAGGCGTGCCAGGGTGACTGTTGGTCCCCTCCAGGAGTGCCAGGCTGGCTCTGATGGCCCCCTCCAGGAGTGCCAGGGGTGTCCCTGATGGCCCCCTCCAGGAGTGCCAGGGGTGGCCCTGATGGCTCCAGGAGTGCCAGGGGTGTCCCTGATGGCCCCTCCAAAGTGCCAGGGTGGCCCTGATGGCCAACCCCAGGAGTGCCAGGGGTGGCTCTGACGCCCCCCTCCAGAAGTGCCAGGGGTGGCCCTGATGGTCCTCTCCAGGAGTGCCAGGGTGGCTCTGATGGCCTCCTCCAGGAGTGCCAGGGTGGCTCTGATGGCCCCCTCCAGGAGTGCCAGGGTGGCCCTGATACCCTCTTTTAAGTAGAAGGGTGTTGGTCTAATTTTAGGTGTTCTGACGCGAGTGATGCCCACACATTGTTTTAGGTTTGTGTGGTGGTGCCCACTGCAACACTCAGTGTTCTGACGCGAGTGATGCCCACACATTGTTTTAGGTTTGTGTGGTGGTGCCCACTGCAACACTCAGTGTTCTGACGCGAGTGATGCCCACACATTGTTTTAGGTTTGTGTGGTGGTGCCCACTGCAACACTCAGTGTTCTGACGCGAGTGATGCCCACACATTGTTTAGGTTTGTGTGGTGGTGCCCACTGCAACACTCAGTGTTCTGACGCGAGTGATGCCCACACATTGTTTTAGGTTTGTGTGGTGGTGCCCACTGCAACACTCAGTGGGCACTATAGGCGTATCTGGGACACCACAGAAACACGGGTGCCCATTAAGGCAGAGGTTAGGGTAGGTTCGGTTAGGTAAGATTTGTCAGGAAAGAGAACAGGTGTTTTCTGACGCGGGTCTTAATTATATGAGTGTTATAACCTCCATGCTTAGTTCCTGTCACCTAGTTACTGTCACACTGGTTGTCAGACCTTGCATGTTCAGTTCCTGTCACCTAGTTACCGTCACACTGGTTGTCAGACCTTGTATGTTCAGTTCCTGTCACCTAGTTACTGTCACACTGGTTGTCAGACCTTGTATGTTCAGTTCCTGTCACCTAGTTACTGTCACACTGGTTGTCAGACCTTGTATGTTCAGTTCCTGTCACCTAGTTACTGTCACACTGGTTGTCAGACCTTGTATGTTCAGTTCCTGTCACCTAGTTACTGTCACACTGGTTGTCAGACCTTGTATGTTCAGTTCCTGTCACCTAGTTACTGTCACACTGGTTGTCAGACCTTGTATGTTCAGTTCCTGTCACCTAGTTACTGTCACACTGGTTGTCAGACCTTGTATGTTCAGTTCTTGTCACCGTCACACCTGTACATCTCGCTACACAACCTCACAAACACCTACACATGACAGTCACCAACACTTAATATGACAGCAGACAGTGTAGTGAATTGTGTATCAAGCACATACTTCCTGTGTACAGTTAATAGTAAAGACAGTAATATGCTAACCTTACTAGACCGATTTTGGGTACACTAATGAGTGACTGTATTAACACAGTGTTCGTGATTGGTAGACAACACCTGAGACACCACTGTGTGTAGTACCAGTACTAGTAGGAGGTCCATGGTTGGTGGACAACACCTGAGACACCACTGTGTGTAGTACCAGTACTAGTAGGAGGTCCATGGTTGGTAGACAACACCTGAGGCACCACTTTGTGTAGTACCAGTACCAGTAGGAGGTCCATGGTTGGTACTTCCGTAGTTGCAACTGTCTTGTTGGTATATTATGTCTGGAGTTAACAAGAACTCGGGGCCTTCTACCTACAAGTGAAACAACGTGTGTGTGTGTGTGTGTGTGTGTGTACTCACCTGTTTGTGGTTGCAGTCATAGCTGAGTCATAGCTCCTGGCCCCGGTACTCACATATTTGTGGTTGAAGGGGTCGACTCACAGCTCATGGCCTGTGTGTGTGTGTGTTTTATGTAATCAAATGGAGGTGGTAGATTGTGACAGTTGGCATATATACAGGTGAGGGTGGCTGTGGAGGTAGTGGGCGTGCTAGCCCCGCCCACACCCACCCCACGCCCACACCCCGCCTCCTGGCCTCCTCCAGTGGGCTGAGTGGCTCCACCTCCCGCCTGGCTGGGACTTCGACAGGCTACGGAGCTCTGGCTACCAGGCTTGGTGGCTCCTTTACGGCTCTCCCCTCCTCCACCTCTTCGGGCTACGGCTCCTGTGCCGGGGGAGTCCTGCCCTCCTCCTCCCGTCACGAGGACTCCGAGGATCTCTCAGACGTGTCCTCAGGCGCTACCTCAGAGGACTCGGCTAGACGTCGACGTAGAAGATCCTCTCAACCTATGAAAGGTGACCAACATTAAACATTGTAGACATCTTGTCTCACCTCACTATTAAACCTTGTCTTATACCCTCTCCTGCAGTCATAGTGTTCCACAGTCCTTCCCTCCAGTCATAGTGTTCCACAATCCTTCCCTCCAGTCATAGTGTTCCACAGTCCTTCCCTCCAGTCATAATGTTCCACAGTCCTTCCCTCCAGTCATAGTGTTCCACAGTCCTTCCCTCCAGTCATAATGTTCCACAGTCCTTCCCTCCAGTCATAGTGTTCCACAATCCTTTCCTCCAGTCATAGTGTTCCACAGTCCTTCCCTCCAGTCATAGTGTTCCACAGTCCTTCCCTCCAGTCATAGTGTTCCACAGTCCTTCCCTCCAGTCATAGTGTTCCACAGTCCTTCCCTCCAGTCATAGTGTTCCACAGTCCTTCCCTCCAGTGTTTCACACTTTGTTAGTACCTTGTTCTATACCTCTGGTATTGCCCTGTGTTCCACGTAGCCTCCGCCGCTTCTTCTTCTTCTTCTTCTTCTTCTTCTTCTTCTTCTTCTTCTTCTTCTTCTTCTTCTTCTTCTTCTTCTTCTTCTTCTTCTTCTTCTTTTATTATTATTATAGTGACGAGACAGCCTAGTTAATAATCTTTATTTACTACCAGTACATGTACAAGGTATACCAGTACATGTACAAGGTATACAAGTACATGTACAAGGTATACAAGTACATGTACAAGGTATACAAGTACATGTACAAGGTATACAAGTACATGTACAAGGTGGAAATAAATGGTATAAAATACCGACACAATGGCAATATAAACACAAATGCAGTATAATGTGATCCTTTATTGACTACGTTTCGCCCACACAGTGGGCTTTTTCAAGTCACAAACAGAACTACTGTTTGTGACTTGAAAAAGCCCACTGTGTGGGCGAAACGTAGTCAATAAAGGATCACATTATACTGCATTTGTGTTTATATTGCTACATGTACAAGGTATACAAGTACATGTACAAGGTATACAAGTACATGTACAAGGTATACAGATTATAGCTGACATCAATGACATACTACTATATAGAAAGCCCCTTGTTATGCTGAGCATTTCCCGTAAATTAGGTCAGTTTTGTCCCAGGATGCCACCCACACCAGTCCACTAACACCCAGGATGCCACCCACACCAGTCCACTAACATCCAGGTACATATTTTACTGCTAGGTGAACAGGGACAGCAGGTGTCTTAAACACGGCCTAGTGTTTCCACCCTTACCGGGGATCGAACCTCATTGTGCGTGTTGAGTGAGCTAGCAATCCAGCTACGGGACACACAAGTCATAAGTGAGTTTTCCATATTATTGGTTAGGTGGGAATTGTGGCAGCTATGATATTGTGGGATTTATTGTTTATGTGAAGAAGTGTGAGGATGCTGGATGGTCGAGGTTAATATTTCTGGACATGATTTATACGTGTTATTGTACTGTTTACAAATCCGACAAGTTGAAGAAACACTTTTGCAACACTTGGGTATCATTATTGAGGAAACGTTTCACCAGTCAATGATTTCTTCAGTCCAGTACACAGAAGAAAGTTGGAAGACGAGGGGGAGTTTGAAGTAATCAGTCCCTCAGCCTGAGGTCGATGTCTTCAAGATTGATGGACTGAGCACATAGTCTCCAGGCTGAGGGACTGATTACCTCAAACACCTTATCTCCCACCGTTTTTCTATGTATTAGACTGAAGAAGACACTGGCTAGCGAAATGTTTCCTCAAGCATTTCCAAATATTGCATAAGTGCCTCAAGCTTTTCATTACGTACAGACACACTCATAAAGAGCCACTTACACTAGCGGACAAAAACTTACACTCACCAACAAACACACACGTAGGATGTACACACATGACTGTAATGGTACCTTCCTACAGGCGAAGCGTCAGTCTCAGGGAATGAGGACTTTGAATGGGTTCGAGGGTCCCCTATGTTGACTGGCCTACTAGAGGGCCACGTCACTCGTCTCTCCACTCCTCCAGATCATCGTCTTCACTCACAGAGATCCACTCTGACCACGCCTCCTGAGTCAGGCGAGGAAGGTGTGTCTAGCCACCGTCACCGTCAGTATACACGACCTCCTCCTGTACCAAGACCTCGCACGCTCGAAGCGGGAGATTTGGTTCCTCATAGGTATATAAGGGAAGCATTAAGAGCCTCCAGGGACAGTACCCGGGATCGTTTGTATTCACCCTCTCGAGACCTGACGGGTTACAGACGCTCTAGAGACTCTTCAGTAGAGCGTAGCGGTAGAGATTCCTCGTGTGAAAGAGGTTCTGTGTCTAGCCTCCACCAACACAGTCATCACCACCATCACGTCACGCCACGGCTACCTCAACACTCCTGTGAATGTCCCTCATGTTGGTGTGACGAGGATGAACCCGGCTACGACTCGTGCGATGAACGAAACCATCACCACCGTCATAGCTACCATGAGGGTCTCCAACACGCTCACCTTCACCAGCCTCACCACCACCACCATCATCACCAACAACCTCCACGAGAACTATCACGGGAGCGAAGGATCAGAAGCCACGGGTCAGCCGATAGTGGAAGGTCATCGCCATGTTGCTGTAGAAACAACCACCAATTGGGGTCGTTAACTTCACTGTCAAGCCACGACTACTGCAACAATACCCGCCTGGCCCTGCCCAGCACTGCCAAGGTGGGTGGACTCAACCATTCCATCCTCCACACCCCCCAAGGTAGCCGCCCACACCGCCGCCTCCACACTGACTACATCACATTATGGAGCTGCCACTCCCCGCCGGTATGTGGTCCATGTGATGCCCACTCACGCCCATATACCCACACTCACACGCCCATACAGCCATCGGTTCAGTCATGAAAGACAGAAATTTGTATCTAAAATTGCCTATCATTATCCTTCTCACAACTAACCCGCAAATTACAAATGAAACCTAAGAACTTAAGTACCTTTGACCTTTTTTCGAGTTATTATCCTAAATAATTTACACCATGTGTACCTGTGCCTCAATAAAATTATTAAAATATTCAATATTTCTCTTCATCTTCATTTCCAATTTGTGGGTTGTAAATTCTAGCCATAATGTTGATGTTTAAATGTTAATGTAATGATTTTGTGTGGTAAAAGTCGTCGTTATATTGCAGATCTAAATAGTTGAAGGAGAGTAGTTTGTTGTAGCCAGGGTTCATGTACACACTACGTGAACCCTCTACATGAACCCTCTATATGAACCCTCTATATGAACCCTCTACATGAACCCTCTATATGAACCCTCTACATGAACCCTCTACATGAACCCTCTACATGAACCCTCTACGTGAACCCTCTACATGAACCCTCTACATGAACCCTCTATATGAACCCTCTACATGAACCCTCTACATGAACCCTCTACATGAACCCTCTATATGAACCCTCTACATGAACCCTCTACATGAACCCTCTACGTGAACCCTCTACATGAACCCTGTACATGAGCCCTCTACATGAACCCTCTACATGAACCCTCTATATGAACCCTCTACATGAACCCTCTACATGAACCCTCTACATGAACCCTCTACATGAACCCTCTACATGAACCCTCTACATGAACCCTCTACGTGAACCCTCTACATGAACCCTCTACATGAACCCTCTATATGAACCCTCTACATGAACCCTCTACATGAACCCTCTACATGAACCCTCTATATGAACCCTCTACATGAACCCTCTACATGAACCCTCTACGTGAACCCTCTACATGAACCCTGTACATGAGCCCTCTACATGAACCCTCTACATGAGCCCTCTACATGAACCCTCTACATGAGCCCTCTACATGAACCCTCTACATGAGCCCTGTAAATGAACCCTCTACATGAACCCTCTACATGAACCCTCTACATGAGCTCTCTACATGAACCCTCTACATGAACCCTCTACATGAACCCTCTACATGAACTCTCTACATGAACCCTCTACATGAACCCTCTACATGAACCCTCTACATGAACCCTCTACATGAACCCTCTATATGAACCCTCTACATGAGCTCTCTACATGAACCCTCTACATGAACCCTCTACATGAACCCTCTACATGAACCCTCTGCACGAACACTCTACATGAGCCCTCTACATGAACCCTCTACATGAACCCTCTATATGAACCCTCTACATGAACCCTCTACATGAACCCTCTACATGAACCCTCTACATGAACCCTCTACATGAACCCTCTATATGAACCCTCTACATGAGCTCTCTACATGAACCCTCTACATGAACCCTCTACATGAACCCTCTACATGAACCCTCTACATGAACCCTCTACACGAACACTCTACATGAACCCTCTACATGAACCCTCTATATGAACCCTCTACATGAACCCTCTACATGAACCCTCTACATGAACCATCTACATGAGCCCTCTACATGAACCCTCTACATGAACCCTCTACATGATCCCTCTACATGAACCCTCTACATGATCCCTCTACATGAACCCTCTGTATGAACCCTCTACATGAACCCTCTACATGAACCCTCTACATGAACCCTCTACATGAACCCTCTACATGAACCCTCTACATGAACCCTCTACATGAACCCTCTACATGAGCCCTCTACATGAACCCTCTACATGAACCCTCTACATGAACCCTCTACATGAACCCTCTACATGAACCCTCTACATGAACCCTCTACATGAGCCCTCTACATGAACCCTCTACATGAACCCTCTACATGAACCCTCTACATGAGCCCTCTACATGAACCCATGTACCTACCATGCATCTAGGCTTTAGGTTCACCCATGTACCTACCATACATCTAGGCTTTAGGTTCACCCATGTACCTACCATACATCTAGGCTTTAGGTTCACCCATGTACCTACCATACATCTAGGCTTTAGGTTCACCCATGTACCTACCATACATCTAGGCTTTAGGTTCACCCATATACCTACCATACATCTAGGCTTTAGGTTCACTCATGTACCTACCATACATCTATTCTTCAGGTTTACCCATGTACCTACCACACATCTATTCTTTAGGTTCACCCATGTACCTACCATACATCTATTCTTTAGGCTCACCCATGTACCTACCATACATCTATTCTTTAGGTTCACCCATGTACCTACCATACATCTATTCTTTAGGCTCACCCATGTACCTACCATACATCTATTCTTTAGGTTCACCCATGTACCTACCATACATCTATTCTTTAGGTTCACCCATGTACCTACCATACATCTAGGCTTTAGGTTCACCCATGTACCTACCATACATCTAGGCTTTAGGTTCACCCATGTACCTACCATACATCTAGGCTTTAGGTTCACCCATATACCTACCATACATCTAGGCTTTAGGTTCACCCATATACCTACCATACATCTAGGCTTTAGGTTCACTCATGTACCTACCATACATCTATTCTTCAGGTTTACCCATGTACCTACCATACATCTATTCTTTAGGTTCACCCATGTACCTACCATACATCTAGGCTTTAGGTTCACCCATGTACCTACCATACATCTAGGCTTTAGGTTCACCCATATACCTACCATACATCTAGGCTTTAGGTTCACTCATGTACCTACCATACATCTATTCTTCAGGTTTACCCATGTACCTACCACACATCTATTCTTTAGGTTCACCCATGTACCTACCATACATCTATTCTTTAGGTTCACCCATGTACCTCCCTCTTTCAAATATTTTTTTTGCAACCTGCAACAATACAATTATTTATATATAACTTTTCTTAAACGCCAGCTCTTCCAGAGAAACCATAATTATTATGTGTTATTCGGACAGTAGTGTATCATTGAGAACAAATTCACGGACACATTGTATACTATCCATCAAAACACTTATGTTTGTTTGCTGTAAAAAAAATTAGATTATAGATTGTTGTATTTCATAGAGCAGTAAACCCGTATGGGTCAGAATTGAGGGTAGGTGTGCTGTGGCAGTGTGAGTGGTGTATTGTGGCGTTAATGGTGTGGTAGAGTAAGGCGCCGGGTACTCGGCGAGCTCTACTGGGGGGGGACACACTAACATGTCCATGTTATTAACTCCCCTTTCTTGGCCTTGTGTATCAGCAAGACTTGTTCATGTTAGTGCTAGTAAGCAAATTAAGTAGATGGCATTGTAGCGACCATGACTCAATAATTGTGTGCATGTTGACTGGCAGGCATGCACCATGCCTGCCATGTTTCCTGACTATATTAGCTTTTAAGTATATTGTTAAGTTAGCCAGTTAAAGACATGTAGCCCATGTTCCTGTATTGCTTTGTTAATGGGACTTGAAGCCTATCTGCTACACAAGGGTAATTAAAACAGCCTATCATATGTTCACAGATCAAGAATACCTACATCCCTAGAATAGAGATTGAAGTAATCAGTGTATATACACTGACATACCTCGCAGTGTATATATACAGTGGACCCCCGCATAGCGAACGCCTTGCATAGCGAACATTCCGCATAGCGAACGCTTTGATCGCTAAAATTTTGCCCCGCATAGTAGACAAAAACCCGCTCAGCGAACTTCGTCCGAGACACGTCCAATGTGGGCCCTCAGCCAGCCTCACATGTGCCGCCCGTCCCATTGTTTACCAGCTAGCCTCCGCGGTAACATTCAAGCATACACTCGGAATATTTCGTATTATTACAGTGTTTTCGGTTCTGTTTGTTGAAAATAAGTGACCATGGGCCCCAAGAAAGCTTCTAGTGCCAACCCTGTGGTAAAAAGGGTGAGAATTAGTATGGAAATTAAGAAAGATTTTGAAGGGTTTGGGGCTAACCCTGAGAAGCCTATGCCAGTTGTGGAATCCATTGTGCCTACTTCAAAAATTAAGGAAATGTGTGCACAGTGGGTTGAACTGCAAACCTTTATGGATGAAAATCACCCTGACACAGCTGTTGCAAGGCGTGCTGGTGACTATTTCAATGACAATGTTATGGCCCATTTTAGACAAATCGTAAAGGAACGGGAGGTACAGAGCTCTATGGACAGAAAGAAGTCCAGTGACTCTGAAGCTGGTCCTAGTGGCATTAAAAGAAGAAGGGAAGTAACCCCGGAAAAGGACTTGCCTCCTCAAGTGTTAATGGAAGGGGATTCCCCTTCTAAACACTAACACTCTCTCTCCCCTCCTCCCATCCCATCAATCATCACCAGATCTTCAATAAAAGTAAGTGTCATGTAATTGTGCATGCCTTTTTCAGTTTGTGTGTACTAAAATTAACATTTTTTTGTGGTAAAAAAATTTTTTTTTCATACTTTTGGGTGTCTTGCACGGATTAATTTTATTTCCATTATTTCTTATGGGGAAAATTAATTCGCATAGCGAACATTTCGCATAACGACCAGCCCTCTTGCACGGATTAAGTTCGCTATGCGGGGGTCCACTGTACTGTGCATTACAGTGAGGAATTACATTTGCTTTGTATACTCTCCTAGTGTATTATTTAAGGCTAGCAAGTAGCCTACAGGCTGGTCACCCTGAAAAGTATAAGCTTGACTCAGGGAAACATGGGTGAATTATAGTGTCAGATGCTAATATACGGCATGAAATATCCCAGTAGATAGAGGTGAAACTGAAGCTGAGGTGAGGTACTATATGTCCTTTGCTCTGGCTCTCTCTTTATTATTAATATATATACAGTGGACTCCCGCTTAACGATCAGCTCCCAATGCGACCAATTATGTAAGTGTATTTATGTAAGTGCGTTTGTACGTGTATGTTTGGAGGTCTGAAATGGACTAATCTAATTAACAATATTCCTTATGGGAACAAATTCGTTCAGTAATGGCACCTGAACATACTTCTGGAATGAAATAATATCGTTAACCAGGGGTCCACTGTATATACATGGAGGAGCACTGAAACCCTAAAAATCATACAGGACCTGGGGAATGGGAGGTAATCAAAGCCCTTAGGAACACCACTCGAATACGAGACCCAAATGTCAAGTCCTCCTCTTGCCTTCGCTTTTTCCATGCTGGTTGTGCTGTTACCACACCATTTATGCCCTTTGTGTCTCCTATATGTTTTAATTTTGATGTATGGCCAAAAAAATAAGTGTATAAACTCATTGATAATTCCAGTCCATAATAGGCATTTCTAAAAGTCTCTGAAGCACTCTCAAACCTTTTTGTCATTCACCTGTGTAATACGTGTGTAACAAAAGCCCATTTTTTTGTAGAGAGTCTGATAGGCTCACGGCTTTTATTTTGCCTTTTATTAGTCTACTATGTGTGTATTTAACAGAAACTTCCATTTTTTTTTTACCAGAGGTAATTTAGTTATATGGAGGTAATTTAGTTATGTATGCCTGTATAAAAGAACTAAGCCGTGAATGTCGGTTCTGTCTTGTGTGCTTACAATTATCATGCACTTGCATGGCTCGTAAAATATAAGGTTACCATGTTGCTTTCTCTGGGATAACATTTTGCTCGATAAAGCTCTACACAGAGGAAAGCATTGTCCTGGAAGCTTGCTCTGCGACGTGTATTTTTTTTTCACTATTGTTGAAAGTATGAATTTTACGAGTGTAACATAACGAGTCGCTCATTAGACGACATTTCGCCCAACTTGTCTTTTATTAAACTACGTTTTTCGAGGTTTTGCCCAACGTATATTTTTATTAGACCACGTTTTCTCATAGATATTCCTTTATCAGGCCTGTACACAATCTACAAACAAAACATTGACCAGCTTCTCCATGACTGCTATACTGTTTTATGTATATACGATGTTTGTGCAGATACTGTATAGTCATGTTAAAGCAGTATATAGGGCGAAACGTTGTCTTTGAAAAAGCCTGAGCTGCTATATGTCTTATAAACCCAGTTTCTCTGCTTTTCTCCACTCAAGTGGTTGTTAATGGGGTTTAAAACCTATCCACCACAAGAAGGTCATTAAGGTTGCATGTTACCTGTTCACTACCAGTCAAGAATAATCCCTAAAATAGGGATTGAAATACTCATTGTGTATACACTGATATAAACCTCTTGGTGTATGCATACTAAGAGACATACACCTCCTGGTGTATATATCCCTGAATCATCATACTGTGTTTGTATAATTTAGATGGAATTTTTTTAGACCTTCATGGTATGTATGAAAAAATAGCATCATTTATGCATGAGGCTTTTATAGCTTATTGTAGTTTGCTGTGCTTTTATTACAACATAAGTAATGTACTTTTATTAATGTGTTTTGCATGAACTTTTATCCATGTCTGTACCTGTAATTTTTGGTATTTTTCTTACAGTGTACTACTGTAAGTGACCAGTAATGTAATGTGTGTACCCCAACACTGTGTATACCCTACACTGAGGGGTATACACAGTGTAGTGTGTGTACTATGAGATTGTAAGATGTGTACCCCAACACTGTGTATACCCCACACTGAGGGGTATACACAGTGTTGAGGTATATTGTCCCACACTGAGGGTGTACACTGTGTGGAAGGTACTCTGGGATGGATTTACCGAGACTAATGAAGGTTAAGCTTCATGGCCCCTAATTCTGAAAGGGCCCCAGAAGCCACTTTAGTCCACATTGCTTAAAAATTTTCGGTCTGTTGTATGAGAAGGGGTTTTTAAAAAGTAATAATAATATAGTGTAATTCAATACAAAATACAGCCTCTCCTCACTTAACGATGGATTTCCATTCTAAGACCACGTTGGTAAATGAATTCGTCGCTAAGTGGGTTTGTGTCAGCCATCTTTGATATTGTTTTAATGTTACATTTGCACCATTTATAACATTTCTGGTATATTTTTAAATGTTTATACAGTAGTATATTGTAATAAACAGAATAGAGGAAATCAGCTCTAATATACATTATATAGTTAAGCATACTGGTGAGAGAACCTGTCATAAGTCTGAGTCATTGGTAAACAAGTACATCGCTAAGTGAGGAGAGGCTGTAGTTAAAATAAAAACTAAAAGGCTATTAAAGTATCGTGTATGCTAGCCATTGCTGGTTGTGAAGGGCCCCCCATAATAGTTCAAGCTTCAGGGCACCAACATGTAGGTCTACCACTGTGTGTACACTATGTATGTGTGTTAAGAATACATGCTTCCAAACAGAGGGTATACATACTCTAGACTGATTTTCTCATATTTTCTTCATATGTATTCTCTTTATGATGAATAAACCATTAATTAATATATAAGTGATCATTTTTGGAATACATAAATACATATGGAAAAATGGAACAGACGAGATGATTGTTTATTTTGGTATGCCATTGTGAAAACCTGCGACTAACTTCGAGGGTTTATTAGACTTTCTCTGCCTCATTGGTAGACCAAAATATACAGTACCTGTTATTCCTTAATTTTTTCCATATAGGTTCATTTGTGCCAATGATCAGTTTTTATTGAATTCTTGTTTTTGAATAATACTCTTTATGTATGTTGTTTTATGTTGTTTTCATAATAATCTATTGAAGTACTGGCAGATTTATTCTTTTGTTACTAAATTGCAACATATGTTGTTGTGTTTCTTTAGTAATGTGGTATGACTCACAAAATATAACACAATTGCAAACTAATCACAGAACAGGTAGGTTTTTACGACTCAAAACGGGTGGGTTTCCAGACCACCCGTTTTGTGGTTAGTAGTGTGTTCTTTCAAAATATTTTCCACCGTTTCATTTTTCTATTATTAATTATTTGAGTGGTGGTTGCAGGGCAGTTCTCTGGAGGAACGAGTTAACCGTCTTGAAGGCGATAAGGACTCACTCCAGCTACAGGTGACTGTCCTCACTCAACAAGTCGAGGCTCAGACAGAGAAGATAGCAGACTTGGAGAACCTGCTTGAGGAGAAGAAAGCACAGCTACAGAAGACTGAAGAGCAGCTACAAAAAGTAAGTTAAAAACACGATTAAAAGTTAAGTTAAACTGGTTGTGGTACAGATGTCTAAGAGAAGATGTGAACTGCTGCCTGTCAGTGAAAAAATTATAATTCTCCACTTATTGTGCTTAGTTTATTAGTTAAAATTTATATTAGGTATGTATGTAAATAAAAAATGGCTTATATATATATATATATTCATAGGGTTAGCTACTATCCACGGTTTCGGTATCCACGGCAGGTTGTTGGAACTTATACCCCACAAATACGGAGGTCCTACTGTAACCCGCATTTAGGAGAGAGAAGTTTATGACGACATTTCGGTCCAACTTTTGCGGGTTATTTGTGTACGCACTTCTCACGTGTCACTAGGTGATATTTTAGGCTAAAATGTTTAAGACACTTAAGACTGGCATGGTTCTCTCTTGCTTAAACACCCATGTATGTTACAGGATCACCATTTTTAGCTAAAATATTTTAGACACAGTGAAGACCAATGTGGTTTATCCCTTATATGAATGCTCATGTGTGTTTTCCAATAAAACCTTACAAATATTCCATTCTGAAACCTTGATATACATTTGATGAGTTTCGAGAGTCATTCTACTCCCTAAATAAGTAATCTTAATTAAATTTATTTAGGGAGTAGAAAGTCACTCAAAACTATGTTGATCTAAGTATTATTTTTGGGATGGGAGGGTGAATTTTTATAAGACATTATAAATTTTCCCTAAACCTGACTAGTTTACCTAAGTTAGTACAGTGGTACCTCGAGTTTCGAACAGCTCCTAACTTGAAAAATTATGTAAGTGTATTTTTGTAAGTGCTTTTGTAAGTGTATTTTTGGGGTCTGAAACAGACTAATCTAATTTACATTATTCCTTATGGGAACAAATTCATTCAGTATCAGCACTCCATCAACCTTCTGGAACGAATTAAGTTCGTAACTCGAGGTACCACTGTAGTACATAGAAAGCTGTGTTAGCGGCAGCTTTGCAAGTACATACTGTACTTCAATACCACTTTTAACCCTTAAACTGTCCAAACATAGATCTACGTTCACATGCGTAGTGCTCCAAAAGTATATCTACGTTTTTTTTACATATTTTCAAATAAAAAAACCCAGTTTAACCCTTTCAGGGTTTCGGACGTACTAGTATGGCTTACGACCCAGGGTTTTTGACGTACTAGTACTCCTAAATTCTAGCGCCCTCAAATCTAGTGAGAGAAAGCTGGTAGGCCTACATATGAAAGAATGGGTCTATGTGGTCAGTGTGCACAGTATAAAAAAGTTCTGCAGCACACAGTGAATAATGAGAAAAAAAAAAACTTTGACCGTGTTTTTGGATTAAAACAGCGACTTTGCACTGTATTTTCGTATGGTATTTATTGTTGTATTCTAGTTTTCTTGGTCTCATTTTATAGAATGGAAGACATATTACAAAAATTTAGATGATTTTGACTGGTTTTACAGTGAAAAGTACTTGAAATTGAGCTCAAAGTAGCAGAAATGTTCGATTATTACCAAAGTTCAAAAGTAAACAAATCATGCTAAGCATCCAATACATGTCAACTGGTGAGTCTAATATTCTTTCACAAGTGCGCCAATATCATTTATATCATTTCTACACTAATGCAGTAGTCTGCATAACAGTAAATCTTCTATTTTTTGTGAGAATAAAAATTCAAAGTGGAAAGGAAAAGAATGTAAGAGGGGCATGGGGACGTGACTAATGAACAGAGGAAATGTTATTTTAGTGCCAGGAATGTCTTTCTTATTCTGGACCCTATTTGGAAATTGGCATCTTTTGAAATTTGTGTCAAATTGGTAAAATTGCTAAATTCTGACCATTGTACTGGATAGTTGAAATTGGTAAATGGGTGGTTTCTTGCACTCATTCTATAGAAAAAATAGAGTTCTAGCGAAATAGTTATGATTTTTGTCGACTAGTACACTGGAATTGGCCGAAAATAGGGCTCAAAGTGGGCAAAATCGCCGATGGGTAAACATCGTCGAGACCGCTAACTTCGCAAGAGCATAATTTCGCAAGTTTTCCATCAAATTTCATACTTTTGGTGTCATTATGATCGGGAAAAGATTCTCTATCTTTTCATAAGAAAAAATAATTTTTGTTTTTTGAAATTTGGGCAACCCTGAGAACAAGTCTGGGAGAGGGCTTGGGGACCCTGAAAGGGTTAGGGTTAAAACATAATGTATTATACTGACACTACTTAATCCTTCAACCTACCAATTTATAAAGGGTTAAGAGCATGGGGCTAGTAACTCTGTCTCCTGTATAAATTGCTAAATGAAAAGTAACCACTGAGGAAAAAAATAGTGAATTTCCGAGTGCTTTCGTGATTTCTCACATTATCAGGTATCTGTAAAAATAATAGGACAGCAGAAGGCTTATAAAACTGAGATATCACCTCACTTATTAAGTGATATCTTATGCTTATATGCAAAATAACCACTTTTCACAGTGGTTATTTTGCATATTGTTAAAGGAAAATTTTTTGTATCTGGCATGCTAAAAAATTTTTTTTTTTAATTTTCAGGGAACCTTTGATTGCTTTTTTTAATATATTTATATTTTTAAAGGAAGTGATGGGTAGATCGAATTTAGAGACGCAGTGTCTAGAACTAGTAAGTGAAATTAGCACCCTGAAGCTCCGTCAAGCCGCGTACGAACGAGAAAATATTGATCTTCGAGAAAAAATTCGACGTTCAGATCATCACTCGGATCATGCGAAAGCGCAGGTGGGTGTAATAATGTAAATTCTACTCACTCACTACATTATTACCCTGTAGATCCATGTATGTCACAAGCTTTGTGCTGTAATTTTGTTGTATGTAGTGTTTCATTAAGTATTTAATGTGGTGTCAATAGTAATACAGTGGTACCTCGGGATACGAAATTAATTCGTTCCAGAAGGCTGTTCGAGTGCCGATACCAAATGAATTTGTTCCCGTAAGGAATAATGTAAATTAGAATAATCCATTTCAGACCCCCAAAAATACACTTACAAAAGCACTTACATAACTACACTTACATAATTGTTCGAGTTTTTAGCTGTTCGTATCCCGAGGTACCACTGTATACATATATACATCTATCTGTATAACACTAATCAAAGTCACTGTATATACACCAAGGCATGTTGTATATCTCATTGTATATACACAGAGTTTACCTTATTCCCTAGTCTACTAATTGAAATATTTTTCATTAAAATAATACAGTACTTTCTTTTATTCACTGTACAATTAATGTGCCTTACATATAATAAAATATTGTTAGGCACGAAAGAAAGCCACTAATATGCAGTGCATTGGTGTTGTGCATGTGTAATTCAGTGAATGACCCTCTTTCAGTTGTTAAGCTTTAACCCGTAAACGGTCCAAACGTATATATACGTTTTTTCAACATTTGAAAGTATGTAAAAAAAGTAGATCTTCTTTTTGTTTTTCTACTTTTGAAAATGTGTAAAAAAACTTTGATCTACTTTTTTTTTTATATATTTGAAAATATGTAAAAAAAACTTAGATCTACTTTTGTAGCACTACACATGTGAATGCAGATCTGCCGGGACCGTTTATGGGTTAAGGGGCATGTCAGTTCCCCTGTCTTCTAATACGTTATTTTCCCCTATAATCTACCTTGTCCGTAATTACTATCGCTTTGTTTCCTAAGGTGAAGTCCAGGATCTTTCCTTAATTCATGGTAATTACTATCGCTTTGTTTCCTAAGGTGAAGTCCAGGATGTTTCCTTAATTCATGGTATAACTTAACAAATCTTTGAGAACAGTTGTGTTGCATAGGTCTGAGCTGAGCAGACAAAGCAGATGTGTTAGTAATTATGGATAAGGTAGATTACAGAGGAAAAATAAACATGATATTAGGAGACAGGGAAACTCACATGCCTCTTAAAGTTACCAAACCATAAGAATGTCGTTCAGCAAAATTCTTTAGCTTATGTTAAAAATCGCTTATGTCTAGACACTTTTGACTTTGTATTAACGTTGGTAGAATTATCGACAATGTGTTCAGGCAATGTTTTACTCTCCAGGAGTGTGACAAAGCTCCTGGAGAGTGGAATATTGCCACAATAAAATGTCACATTAGTTGCACTTGTGCCCTTTTACCTAACACTTTTGATTTTGTGACATTAACCTCACTGCTTTTTGTGTGTTAAAGTAGTATATGTTGCTTTTACTGTACAGCCTCTCCTCACTTAGTGACGTACTTGTTTACCGATGACTCGGACTTACGATGGGCTCTCTGACCAGTATGCTGACCTAAATAATGTATATTAGAGCTGATTTCCTCTATTCTGTTTATTACAATATACAGTATGCTGAAGGAGAAGTGTTAATGTTGCAGTTTAAAAACTGTAGTGTAAAGCACTCTTCTGGCAAGACAGTGATGGAGTGAATGATGGTGAAAGTTTTTCTTTTTCGGGCCACCCTGCCTTGGTGGGAATCTGCCAGTGTGTTAATAATAATAAAAAAACAGTATGCTGCTGTATAAACATTTAAATACATACCAGAAATGTTATAAATGATGTAAAGGTTATATTAAAATAATATCAAAGATGGTTGACACAAACCCACTACCATTATAGTATGCTCCTCACTTAGTGACGAATTCGTTTACTGACATGGTTTTAGGAATGGAACTCTGTCGTTAAGTGAGGAGAGGCTGTATTCTGTTTGTTAATACAGTATTGTACTGTGTTGAGTGAAAGGAAGTTGATTTATTGATGTATCCATTTCAAAGGAAACATCACAAGACAGGGCTATGACAAGACTTAAAACAGTGTTGACTTAAAACAGTGTTGACTTAAAACAGTGTTGACTTAAAACAGTGTTGACTTAAAACAGTGTTGACTTTAAACAGTGTTGACTTAAACAGTGTGACTTAAAACAGTGTTGACTTAAAACAGTGTTAACTTAAAACAGTGTTGACTTAAAACAGTGTTGACTTAAAATATTGTTGACTTAAAACAGTGTTGACTTTAAACAGTGTTGACTTAAAACAGGGTTGACTTAAAACAGTGTTGACTTAAAACAGTGTTGACTTAAAACAGTGTTGACTTAAAACAGTGTTGACTTAAAACAGTGTTAACTTAAAACAGTGTTGACTTAAAACAGTGTTGACTTAAAACAGTGTTGACTTAAAACAGTGTTGACTTAAAACAGTGTTGACTTAAAACAGTGTTGACTTAAAACAGTGTTGACTTAAAACAGTGTTGACTTAAAACAGTGTTGACTTAAAACAGTGTTGACTTAAAACAGTGTTAACTTAAAACAGTGTTGACTTTAAAACAGTGTTGACTTAAAACAGTGTTAACTTAAAACAGTGTTGACTTAAAACAGTGTTGACTTAAAACAGTGTTGACTTAAAACAGTGTTGACTTAAAACAGTGTTGACTTAAAACAGTGTTGACTTAAAACAGTGTTGACTTAAAATATTGTTGACTTAAAATATTGTTGACTTAAAACAGTGTTGACTTAAAACAGTGTTGACTTAAAACAGTGTTGACTTAAAACAGTGTTGACTTAAAACAGTGTTGACTTAAAACAGTGTTAACTTTAAACAGTGTTGACTTAAAACAGTGTTGACCTAAAACAGTGTTGACTTAAAACAGTGTTAACTTAAAACAGTGTTGACTTAAAACAGTGTTAACTTAAAACAGTGTTGACTTAAAACAGTGTTGACTTAAAACAGTGTTGACTTAAAACAGTGTTGACTTAAAACAGTGTTGACTTAAAAACAGTGTTGACTTAAAAGAACTTATGATCTATTTTGCATAGTCCACTGGAAAAATTCTAAAGGAAAATTTAAAGGAATCATTTCCCAGAAAAAAATTTAGAGCAGGGGGTCTCCAACCTTTTTCACTATGGATGCCACATCGTATATTTTACACATTTTTTGAGGGCCCAAGGAAAAAAATCCGTCTAATAAATAAATATAAATGAATGAATAAAATTTAAATGAATAAATAAGTGATTGGAGTGATTTACAATGAGGGTTCATAAGTTTTACTATTTATAAACATTTGAAGTTGCTGCGCACCGCGTGCAGCCTGCGGGCCACAGTTTGCCGACCCCTGCTTTAGACGAATGAACTAATTAACAGTTAAAAACAGAATAGTGGAGTTATTAGATGGGGAGTTGAAGGTAGTGGGAGGATGGAGGGAATATTTTGAGGAATTGCCAAATGTTGAAGAAAGAGAGGCATTGACTTCATGCTTTGGTCAGGGAGATATAACATCTTTTAGAAGTGATTAAGAGCTAGATATTTAGAAGTGAGGAAGAGCTAGATATTTAGAAGTGAGGAAGAGCTAGATATTTAGAAGTGAAGAAGAGCTAGATATTTAGAAGTGAGGAAGAGCTAGACATGAGTATGGGAGAGGTGCAGGAGACTGTGGGTAAAGCAACTGCGATTGATGGGAATGTATTTCAAAGTAAAAAAATGCTGTAAACATGTTTAGTATTCAGGATTTGGGTTCCTAGAATTATGAAGAAAAATGTACCCTGAGACCATGACCATGTATGTATGCTTTACTGATCCTGTTCTGGAGGCTTTTACCACCCTAGTGTATCATTACCCGGCAGCCTGATCAGATTCACCATTCAGATTGTGGTGTTGTATTAATGTACTTACCCTTATTTTTCATTATATTTGATGACTGTGTATGTTTCATTATGTTTGATGGTTGTGAAATAGAGATTTGCTTAATAATAATGTTAATAATAATAATAATATTTACTTTGACATGATACATGTATGCACAAAGAAGTATAATAGTTGGGTATACGTGACAAAAGCCCTTACATATGCAGAGCATTTCGGGCAAACTTAAAATTAACTTAAGATTAATAAGGTAATAACAGTACATATAGTCATAATGAATACAAGAGACTTGAGTATTCTATTAGGTCATGCTATATGGCTTTAATAAGTCTTGTAGAGAAGACGTACAGTTTTGTACGGAAGGATATCAGTCCGCTCCCACGGCTTTAGGCCACTCTTCACAAGTTGGGGAATTTACTCCCCATGAAACGCTGTGTTTATCATTTCTAGACGGTTGAAGGATGTCTTACATCACTAGGGACAATCTGCTTTGTGTGATGGTTTTAGAGAAGGTAGGGGGGATATACTTTAATAATTAGCATGGTACATGCTTATTAGTGTCATTTGGCTCACATTTCTTGTTTGGAAAGCTCCTATTGTATTTTTTATGCAGTGTTGGTGTATACAGAAAGTTTAGTTAAGTTTAATATCTTTATTATGCACCCCATACCCATCCTGTGGGCGGTAGTCAAAAGATTACAGAGGTACATAATGGGTCCAAGGACTGGACCCCAAAGTTATGATAGCTGAACTAGTTGCAAAGGTAATGAACTCCAGGTAGATCTGGTCACAATCATGGCAAGTTACAGAGGTAATGAATCAGCCTCACTCCTATACATGGTTACAGTCATGAACAAATTACAAAGTAATGAGTCACTGATACGTCCACACTTGGTTACAATTGTAATGAGTTATAAATACAAATATTAAGTGAGTCATACACCCACACGAGCGTGCGTGCACACACATACACACAAGAGGGTGCATGCACAGACACATGCACACGAGCATGTGCACACACACATACACACAAGAGGGTGCATGCACAGACATGCACATGAGCATGCACGCACACACATACACACAAGAGGGTGCATGCACAGACACATGCACGCGAGTGTACAAATATATGCATACACACAAGCACGTACACCCACACACTCTCACACACACACAGCACGCACACACACACACACACACACACACACACCACACACACACACACACACACACACACACACACACACACACACACACACAAGCATGCACCCCCTCCCCCCCGACACACACACACACACACACACACAAGCATGCACCCCCTCCCCCCGACACACACACACACACACACACACACATGGTAATGCATTATTTACAGCTAGCAAAGTCAGGGTATTTCTCCAGAATGGTCTGCAATATACCACTGTGGATAAAATACAGAAAGATTGTGTTTATGTGATTGTTCTTGCTTGTGGTGTCTCTCTTCGTGGTTCTGCTTGTCATATAATTTCTCTCTAATTTTCCATTGGTTGTAGCACTTACTACCTCGTCTTGTTTGCTGCCCCAATAGTCTATCATTTTGAAAAAAAATTTGATACCTGTGGGAGAGTTTTTTACTCAGTTTACATCTGTGGCTTTTGTTCTTCATATTCTAGTAAGATACCTTTTGTTTTTTTGTATGTTGTTGGATTTTTGTATTTTTTTTTCTTTTTTTTTTCTGTCATCTAATGTTGTTGTTAATATTTCGTTGTAAATTATATTTTTACCTCTTGGAGCAAATTTGTAGCTTATTTTTAGGCCTTTTCTATCTTTTTCAAATTTTCTTTTAGGTTCAGACAGCCTTGGGACTTTGTTCCTATGAACCTCAAATGGCATTTCAAAGTGTTTAAGCCTAGTTTAACCCTTAAACTGTCCAAATGTAGATCTACGTTCATGTGCGTAACACTCCGACCTTGATTTTCCCCATTTGAAAGCATGTAAAAAAAAATGTAGATCTACGTTCGGAGCCCCTGCATGTGGACGTAGATCTACGTTCGGAGCCCCCCGCATGTGGACGTAGATCTACGTTTGGAGCCCCCCGCATGTGGACGTAGATCTATGTTCGGAGCCCCCCGCATGTGGACGTAGATCTACGTTCGGAGCCCCCCGCATGTGGACGTAGATCTACGTTCGGAGCCCCCGCATGTGGACGTAGATCTACGTTCGGAGCCCCTCGCATGTGGACGTAGATCTACGTTTGGAGCCCCCTGCATGTGGACGTAGATCTACGTTTGGAGTCCCCCGCATGTGGATGTAGATCTACGTTCGGAGCCCCCCGCATGTGGACGTAGATCTATGTTCGGAGCCCCCGCATGTGGACGTAGATCTACGTTCGGAGCCCCCGCATGTGGACGTAGATCTACGTTCAGAGCCCCCGCATGTGGACGTAGATCTACGTTCGGAGCCCCCGCATGTGGACGTAGATCTACGTTCGGAGCCCCCGCATGTGGACGTAGATCTACATTTGGACAGTGTAAGGGTTAATGTGCTGTTATGTAATTGATATCAGATAAGTATAGAATATAATTTATATTTTCTTATTTTGGAATGGAGTACATCAGTTAAGCAGCTTCTTGCGTCATTCTTTTTATATCACTTTTGTATATGTGTTTGTTCCATGTTTGTGATAATGAGTTATTATTGTGTTATGTGTAGTAGCTTACTTTGTCTTCCTAACTTCATAACTATATGCTCCCTGTTTGTGAGTGTTGAGTGACCTTTATACACAAATAACCCGCACATAAAAGAGAGAAGCTTACGACGACGTTTCGGTCCGACTTGGACCATTGACAAAGTCACACTAACAGAGGTGGAGCAGGACGGCTATATATAGGCAGGAAGAGGTGGTGGTAGTAGTAGTAGTAGTAGTAGTAGTAGTAGTAGTAGTAGTAGTAGTAGTAGTAGTAGTAGTACAAGAATTGTATATAATACCGACAGGATGAAATTAAGACACATGCACAACGCCCGGGCATCCCCATCGTAGACGTTTGTGACCTTTATATAGTGTAGTTATAAGCATGAACTTACTCTCTTTATGTAACCTTCATATGCTTATGTATTTCCCTGCCTGTGAGTGATGAGTGACCTTTGTAATAGTGTAGCTTTAAACAGGAACTTTCTCTTATATGTAAGCCTCACATTCTTATGTACTTCCCTGTTTGTATGTAACCTTTGTAATAGTGCATTTATGTGAAGTGAGGCATGTTTATGTGTTCTACCATTTGTGTTGTGGTATGGTCAGCCGATAGTGTCTGGTACTGGTGTTGGCCGCACTTCCAGTTTTCGGAGCATAACGCCTGCAGCAGCATCCACTCCTGTTCACTCCTTCTTGGTCACACCAGATTCACCACAGCCTAGTCACCAGGTATTGTCTCGTCCTGCTGCGTGAACATTTTTATAAAGAAAAATGTCCTGACTTAAAGAAAATTAGCATAATACGATAAATTTCTACAGCGTTATTATTATTATATTGGGAAAATGGAATCTTCCTTTTCCTGCTCATGTTATATTTTCCTTAACCCTTAAACGGTCCAAACGTATATATACGTTTTTTCGACATCTGAAAGTATGTAAAAAAATATAGATCAACTTTTTTGTTTTACATTTGAAAATGTGTAAAAAAACTTTTATCTACATTTTTTTTTGTTATATTTGAAAATATGTAAAAAAAAGTACAGTGGACCCCCGCATAACGATTACCTCCGAATGCGACCAATTATGTAAGTGTATTTATGTAAGTGCGTTTGTACATGTATGTTTGGGGGTCTGAAATGGACTAATCTACTTCACAATATTCCTTATGGGAATAAATTCGGTCAGTACTGGCACCTGAACATACTTCTGGAGTGAAAAAATATCGTTAACCGGGGGTCCACTGTAGATCTACTTTTGTAGCAATACGAATTTGAACATCGATTTGTTTAGATCGTTTAAGGGTTAAATGTATCTTCTTCTACATAAGAAGTCAACAAACTGTTCACCCTTCCTTGTAACACTTTATGTACCATCTTGAGAATATAAATTATTATTCTTCATTCAACACACCGGCCATATCCCTCCAAGACAGAGTGACCCAAAAAAGAAAAATGAAAGTTTCTCCTTTTAAATTAAGTAAAATATACAGGAGAAGGGGTTACTAGCCCCTTGCTCCTGGCATTTTAATCGCATCTTACGACACTCATGGCTTATAAAGGAAGAATTCTGTTCCACTTTCCCATGGAGAAAATATAAATTATGCATCTTCTTCTTTCAACGTACCAGCCGTATCCCACTGAGGCGGGGTGGCCCAAAAGGAAAAACGCAAGTTTCTCCTTTCAAATTTAGTAATATATACAGGAGAAAGGGTTACTAGTCTCTCTCCTGGCATTTTAGTCGCCTCTTACAACACGCATGGTTTACGGAGGAAGAATTCTGTTCCACTTCCCCATGGAGATAAGAGGAAATAAACAAGAACAAGAACTAGAAAGAAAATAGAAGAAAACCCAGACGGGTGTGTATATATATGCTCGTACATGTATGTGTAGTGTGACCTAAGTGTAAGTAGAAGTAGCAAGACGTACCTGAAATCTTGCATGTTTATGAGACAGAAAAAAGACACCAGTAATCCTACCATCATGTAAAACAATTACAGGTTCCATTTTACACTCACTTGGCAGGACGGTAGTACCTCCCTGGGTGGTTGCTGTCTACCAACCTACTACCTACAAAATTATACATCTATATATATATTTTAACAAACCAGCCGTCTCCTACTGAGGCAGGGTGACCTGCAAAAGAAGAAACACTTTAACCATCATTCACACTATCACTGTCTTTGCAGAGGTACCCAGATACCACAGTACACGTATATATTGTACAGTGCTATTATTACTGTATATTCATGCAGAAGCAATAGACCCATAAACCTCAGTGTATGTACTGTATATACTGGGAAATAAAACAAATGGTCCCTAAAAATTACCATTTTAGGAATATAATAAGCTTTGTTGCATTTATTAATTTCTACAAAGAGGGTAAGTTTAGTTCATTTAGGCACACATAGGCACAGTTTTTATTCATAGTGTAAATTACCCTCCAGGATAACTCAAAAAAGTTAGACATAGTGACTTATTTCCATTGGAGCCCTTGTGATTTTTTTTAATATCAGTAGTGGGTTTACTTACCTACAATACAGTACAGGTTTATACCTCAACGGGGAAGTGGAAAAGTACTCTTCCTCTGTAAGCTATGTGTGTCATAAGAGGCGAGTAAAAGGCCAGAAGCAAGATGCTATTAACCCCTTCTCCTGCATAAATTATTGAATGTAAAAAGAAAAATCTTGAGCTTTTCTTTTTAGGTCACCCTGTCTTGGTGGGATACGGCTGGTTCGTTGAAAAAAAAATGTTTATACAGAAATGGGTGACATTTGAGTATATGTTGAAAACCTATGGTTATTCAGATCATTTCAGGCAAGCTACTGCTGCCTCAGGTGCTGTTAGCCAAAGTTGTCATTTATACTGTGCCATTGAATAATGTGTAGACTGTGGAGTAGAACTAACTTGGAGTGTTCAGCTTGCAGCGCAACTGACCAACTCTCCCTCACCGAGTAGCATCTCGACACTGTCCACCATCCCAGCTTCCTCACCCAACAAGTCCCCAGCTCAACCCATCACTGCCTCTCCTGCCTCATCGCCTGTAGCCTCACATGATGCCCGCCAGTTCATGCCTCCTAGGGTAAGTTTGGTTAGGTTAGGCTTGTCAGAAAACAGGACGGGTGTTTCCTGACACAGGTCTTAGTTGTATGATGACCCGACTAGGTTAAGTTAGGTAAGGTTTGTCAGGATGATGACCCGACTAGGTTAAGTTAGGTAAGGTTTGTCAGGATGATGACCCGACTAGGTTAAGTTAGGTAAGGTTTGTCAGGAAACAGGACAAGCGTTTCCTGATGCAGGTCTTAGTCTTATGATGACCCACAGCTGGAGCTTTTGATCGTCTGACCAAGGCCTTCCACTTCAAAAATTAAGGTTATGATTACATGGACCCGTTAACGATATTTTTCTTCACATCAAAAGTATGTTCAGGTCCAGTACTAAGAATTGTTCCATAAGGAATATTGTAATAGATTATGTCATTTCAGACCCTTAACTCACGTAAAACGCCTTACATAAATACACTTACAATAATTGGTCACATTCGAGGTAATCGTATGCGGGGTCCAGTATAACCATTTGATATTGCACATAAATAAAAAATAGTTAGTTATAAAAATTGAAGAAATACAACAATAACTTGTCATTATTTATTTTTATGGCTCTTTTTTAATGAGTAAATTCTAATATATTAAATGGATTATGTAGTGGAGAGTTATATTTTGAGCCTAAGGGGAAAAAGCATAATATATGGTAATAAAAAAAAATAATAAAAATATTACTTGGAATTTAACTGAAAATCTTGTTAGGTTATGACAGATTAGATTTTTTTTTTTTGTTGAAATTAAAAAAAAATAATTTTTACCAGGGTAAGATAATCTTTGCTCTATCTGAGAGTTATGGTAGGACTGCTTAATAATTTTTCACCTAATTATCTGTGTATCCCAGGATAAGATGCATCCCTGGTATAGACCCGTCCCGCTTATACGGCAAGTTAGTTTCCGCACGACTGCTCTATATTGAAGCAGCCTTTTTTTTTTTACTTTCAAATGCATATAAAATCCTGATAACATGTTTACACTATCATATATTAAGTAAACAATATAACTAGGCCTAAAAAAAGGCATGTACAGTACACACATTACTTACCTTAAAATTTTTTGTAGGAAGTCTGAATAAATGAAGAATTGCTATAAATGAAAACCGCAGCATTAGCAAAGTGCTGTAAAGTGAAGCACTGTAAAGTGGAGCACTGTAAAGTGGAGCACTGTAAAGTGAAGCACTGTAAAGTGGAGCACTGTAAAGTGAAGCACTGTAAAGTGAAGCACTGTAAAGTGGAGCACTGTAAAGTGAAGCACTGTAAAGTGAAGCACTGTAAAGTGAAGCACTGTAAAGTGAAGCACTGTAAAGTGAAGCACTGTAAAGTGAAGCACTGTAAAGTGAAGCACTGTAAAGGGAAGCACTGTAAAGTGAAGTGCTGTAAAGTGAAGCACTGTAAAGTGAAGCACTGTAAAGTGAAGCACTGTAAAGTGAAGCACTGTAAAGTGAAGTGCTGTAAAGTGAAGCACTGTAAAGTGGAGCACTGTAAAGTGAAGCACTGTAAAGTGGAGCACTGTAAAGTGAAGCACTGTAAAGTGGAGCACTGTAAAGTGAAGCACTGTAAAGTGAAGCACTGTAAAGTGAAGCGCTGTAAAGTGAAGCACTGTAAAGTGGAGCACTGTAAAGTGGAGCACTGTAAAGTGGAGCACTGTAAAGTGAAGCACTGTAAAGTGAAGCGCTGTAAAGTGAAGCGCTGTAAAGTGAAGCGCTGTAAAGTGAAGCGCTGTAAAGTGAAGCACTGTAAAGTGAAGCGCTGTAAAGTGAAGCACTGTAAAGTGAAGCACTGTAAAGTGAAGCACTGTAAAGTGGAGCACTAAAGTGAAGCACTGTAAAGTGAAGCACTGTAAAGTGAAGCACTGTAAAGTGAAGCACTGTAAAGTGGAGCACTGTAAAGTGAAGCACTGTAAAGTGAAGCACTGTAAAGTGAAGCACTGTAAAGTGGAGCACTGTAAAGTGGAGCACTGTAAAGTGAAGCACTGTAAAGTGGAGCACTGTAAAGTGAAGCACTGTAAAGTGAAGCACGGTAAAGTGAAGCACTGTAAAGTGAAGCACTGTAAAGTGAAGCATGGTAAAGTGAAGCACTGTAAAGTGAAGCACGGTAAAGTGAAGCACGGTAAAAGTGAAGCACTGTAAAGTGAAGCATGGTAAAGTGAAGCACTGTAAAGTGAAGCACGGTAAAGTGAAGCACTGTAAAGTGAAGCACTGTAAAGTGAAGCACTGTAAAGTGAAGCACGGTAAAGTGAAGCACTGTAAAGTGAAGCATGGTAAAGTGAAGCACTGTAAAGTGAAGCACGGTAAAGTGAAGCACTGTAAAGTGAAGCACTGTAAAGTGAAGCATGGTAAAGTGAAGCACTGTAAAGTGAAGCACGGTAAAGTGAAGCACTGTAAAGTGAAGCACTGTAAAGTGAAGCATGGTAAAGTGAAGCACTGTAAAGTGAAGCACGGTAAAGTGAAGCACGGTAAAGTGAAGCACTGTAAAGTGAAGCACTGTAAAGTGGAGCACTGTAAAGTGGAGCACTGTAAAGTGGAGCACTGTAAAGTGAAGCACTGTAAAGTGAAGCACTGTAAAGTGAAGCACGGTAAAGTGAAGCACTGTAAAGTGAAGCACTGTAAAGTGAAGCACTGTAAAGTGAAGCACTGTAAAGTGAAGCACGGTAATGTGAAGCACTGTAAAGTGGAGCACTGTAAAGTGAAGCACTGTAAAGTGAAGCACTGTAAAGTGAAGCACAGTAAAGTGAAGCACTGTAAAGTGGAGCACTGTAAAGTGAAGCACTGTAAAGTGAAGCACTGTAAAGTGAAGCACTGTAAAGTGAAGCACTGTAAAGTGGAGCACTGTAAAGTGAAGCACTGTAAAGTGAAGCACTGTAAAGTGAAACACTGTAAAGTGAAGCACTGTAAAGTGAAGCACTGTAAAGTGAAGCACTGTAAAGTGGAGCCCCCCTGTGCAGCCAGCCTCCCATATCTTTCAGGGTTCCTAGTTTTTTTTTTTTTTTTCAACAAGTCGGGGGTCTCCCACCGAGGCAGGGTGACCCACCGAGGCAGGGTGACCCACCGAGGCAGGGTGACCCACCGAGGCAGGGTGACCCACCGAGGCAGGGTGACCCAAAAAAAGAAAGAAAATCCCCAAAGAGAAAATACTTTCATCATCATTCAACACTTTCACCTCACTCACACATTATCACTGTTTTTGCAGAGGTGCTCAGAACACAACAGTTTAGAAGCATATACGTATAAAGATACACAACATATCCCTGTGGGATTAATTTTTCATAGAAAATGCTGGATAATTAAATTCTTGTCTTTCTAAGAGAAAACCTCTGAATAAATTTGATTATTTGCAGTTTTTCTCTGTGTCCTTGATTTCTGGGCTTAGTCCATGACCCATAAATTGAAAACTGGCCATAGGAGTTGCTACTTATTTATTGCCTTTCACATTCCCAAAGAATTTTTGATTAGTTGTTTCATATAAGAGTGATATTTATAACTGTATTGTGAGCGTGCCTCGGGCAAGACAGTGATGGTTTGAATGATGAAAGTTTTCCTTTTCTGGCCACCCTTTCGGTGGGAAACGGTTGGTGTGTTAATAAAAGAAATAATTAAAAAAAATTTGACCACAATAAATAGGAGAGCAAACCTGCCACAGGTTGTTTCACACTTGTTTGTACTGCTGCTCAGTACTTGTGCAGTTTACTTTGGTAAACTGCACAAGTTCTGAGCAGCAGTACTTACAAATGGGGTACTTAGAAACCAAAGTAAACTGCACAAGTTCTGAGCAGCAGTACTTACAAATGGGGTACTTAGAAACTTAAGTAAACTGAACAAGTTCTGAGCAGCAGTACTTACAAATTGGGTACTTAGAAACCTAAGTAAACTGAACAAGTTCTGAGCAGCAGTACTTACAAATGGGGTACTTAGAAACCTAAGTAAACTGAACAAGTTCTGAGCAGCAGTACTTACAAATTGGGTACTTAGAAACTAAAGTAAACTGAACAAGTTCTGAGCAGCAGTACTTACAAATGGGGTACTTAGAAACCTAAGTAAACTGAACAAGTTCTGAGCAGCAGTACTTACAAATTGGGTACTTAGAAACCTAAGTAAACTGAACAAGTTCTGAGCAGCAGTACTTTGTAAGTATTGCTGTGTGTAATCTGAGGTGATTGTATATAGGGGAGTTCTTCCATATCCTCAGTTGACAGACTAATGCAATTGAGATGAGAATTTTTACTGTGATCATAACAGTACCAGTTCTGTAACCAACACATTTTGTTCTGTACACTGATTCAGAATCACTTGACCCAGCCAATTTTGTTCTGTATTTTGCCAAATCCATTAAATCAGGGTTTACCTGGAGTTTACCTGGAGAGAGTTTCGGGGGTCAACGCCCCCGCGGCCCGGTCTGTGACCAGGCCTCCTGGTGGATCAGCGCCTGATCAACCAGGCTGTTGCTGCTGGCTGCACGCAAACCAACGTACGAGCCACAGCCCGGCTGATCAGGAACTGTCTTTAGGTGCTTGTCCAGTGCCAGCTTGAAGACTGCCAGGGGTCTGTTGGTAATCCCCCTTATGTGTGCTGGGAGGCAGTTGAACAGTCTCGGGCCCCTGACACTTATTGTATGGTCTCTTAACGTGCTAGTGACACCCCTGCTTTTCATTGGGGGGATGGTGCATCGTCTGCCAAGTCTTTTGCTTTCGTAGTGAGTGATTTTCGTGTGCAAGTTTGGTACTAGTCCCTCTAGGATTTTCCAGGTGTATATAATCATGTATCTCTCCCTCCTGCGTTCCAGGGAATACAGGTTTAGAAACCTCAAGCGCTCCCAGTAATTGAGGTGTTTTATCTCCGTTATGCGCGCCGTGAAAGTTCTCTGTACATTTTCTAGGTCGGCAATTTCACCTGCCTTGAAAGGTGCTGTTAGAGTGCAGCAATATTCCAGCCTAGATAGAACAAGTGACCTGAAGAGTGTCATCATGGGCTTGGCCTCCCTAGTTTTGAAGGTTCTCATTATCCATCCTGTCATTTTTCTAGCAGATGCGATTGATACAATGTTATGGTCCTTGAAGGTGAGATCCTCCGACATAATCACTCCTAGGTCTTTGACGTTGGTGTTTCGCTCTATTTTGTGGCCAGAATTTGTTTTGTACTCTGATGAAGATTTAATTTCCTCATGTTTACCATATCTGAGTAATTGAAATTTCTCATCGTTGAACTTCATTTTGTTTTCTGCAGCCCACTGAAAGATTTGGTTGATGTCCGCCTGGAGCCTTGCAGTGTCTGCAATGGAAGACACTGTCATGCAGATTCGGGTGTCATCTGCAAAGGAAGACACGGTGCTGTGGCTGACATCCTTGTCTATGTCGGATATGAGGATGAGGAACAAGATGGGAGCTAGTACTGTGCCTTGTGGGACAGAGCTTTTCACCGTAGCTGCCTCGGACTTTACTCTGTTGACGACTACTCTCTGTGTTCTGTTAGTGAGGAAATTATAGATCCATCGACCGACTTTTCCTGTTATTCCTTTAGCGCGCATTTTGTGCGCTATTACGCCATGGTCACACTTGTCGAAGGCTTTTGCAAAGTCTGTATATATTACATCTGCATTCTTTTTGTCTTCTAGTGCATTTAGGACCTTGTCGTAGTGATCCAGTAGTTGAGACAGACAGAGCGACCTGTTCTAAACCCATGTTGCCCTGGGTTGTGTAACTGATGGGTTTCTAGATGGGTGGTGATCTCGCTTCTTAGGACCCTTTCAAAGATTTTTATGATATGGGATGTTAGTGCTATTGGTCTGTAGTTCTTTGCTGTTGCTTTACTGCCCCCTTTGTGGAGTGGGGCTATGTCTGTTGTTTTTAGTAACTGAGGGACGACCCCCGTGTCCATGCTCCCTCTCCATAGGATGGAAAAGGCTCGTGATAGGGGCTTCTTGCAGTTCTTGATGAACACAGAGTTCCATGAGTCTGGCCCTGGGGCAGAGTGCATGGGCATGTCATTTATCGCCTGTTCGAAGTCATTTGGCGTCAGGATAACATCGGATAGGCTTGTGTTAGTCAAATTTTGTGGCTCTCTCATAAAAAATTCATTTTGGTCTTCGACTCTCAGTCTGGTTAGCGGCTTGCTAAAAACTGAGTCATATTGGGACTTGAGTAGCTCACTCATTTCCTTGCTGTCATCTGTGTAGGACCCATCTTGTTTAAGTAGGGGCCCAATACTGGACGTTGTTCTCGATTTGATTTGGCATAGGAGAAGAAATACTTTGGGTTTCTTTCGATTTCATTTATGGCTTTTAGTTCTTCCCGCGATTCCTGACTCCTAAAGGATTCTTTTAGCTTAAGTTCGATGCTTGCTATTTCTCTGACCAGTGTCCCCCCTGCGCATTTCAGATATATTGACCTCTTTTAGCCGCTCTGTTATTCTTTTCCGTCGCCTGTAAAGGGAGCGCCTGTCTCTTTCTATTTTACATCTACTCCTCCTTTTTCTTAGAGGAATAAGCCTTGTGCATACATCGAGTGCCACCGAGTTAATCTGTTCTAGGCATAAGTTTGGGTCTGTGTTGCTTAGTATATCTTCCCAGCTTATATCGGTTAGGACTTGGTTTACTTGGTCCCACTTTATGTTTTTGTTATTGAAGTTGAATTTGGTGAATGCTCCCTCATGACTAGTCTCATTTTGTCGGTCTGGGGCTCCATGCATACATGTCTGAACCTCAATTATGTTGTGATCTGAGTATATTGTTTTTGATATGGTGACATTTCTTATCAGATCATCATTGTTAGTGAAGATGAGGTCTAGTGTATTCTCCAGTCTTGTAGGCTCTATTATTTGCTGGTTTAAATTGAATTTTGTGCAGAGATTTAAAAGCTCGTGTGAGTGTGAGTTTTCATCAGAGCTGCCTCCTGGTGTTTTTTCTGCAACAATATTATTTGCTATATTCCTCCATTTTAGGTGCCTTAAGTTGAAATCCCCCAGGAGCAAGATGTTGGGTGCAGGAGCTGGAAGATTTTCCAGACAGTGGTCAATTTTTAACAGCTGTTCCTGGAATTGCTGGGATGTTGCATCCGGAGGCTTGTAGACTACCACAATGACTAGGTTTTGGTTCTCGACCTTTACTGCTAAAACTTCCACTACGTCATTTGAGGCATTAAGCAGTTCTGTGCAAACAAGTGACTCTGCAATGTACAGGCCAACCCCCCCCTTTTGCCTGTTCACTCTGTCACATCTGTATAGGTTGTAACCTGGGATCCATACTTCGTTGTCCAAGTGATCCTTTATGTGGGTCTCAGTGAAAGCCGCGAACATTGCCTTTGCCTCTGCAAGCAGTCCACGGATGAAAGGTATTTTTGTTGTTTGTAGCTGGCTTTAGACCCTGTATATTTGCAAAGAAGAATGTTATCGGACTGGTGGTATTGTTGGTACTGGGGGGGTCAGTTGAAGTAAGGGTTTACTATGTGTGAAAAGTTGTTAGGGAGTAGACAAGGGAATAGAGTATGAGCATCAAAATGGTATACAATACCGACAGGTTGGTAGGTAAGACACATAGGCAACAGTTAGGCAACTTTATTCCGAAACGTTTCGCCTACACAGTAGGCTTCTTCAGTCGAATACAGAAAGTAGGCAGGAACAGTAGAGATGTGAAGATGATGTAATCAGTCCATCACCCTTGAAGTCATAGAATTTGAGGTTGTCAGTCCCTCAGCCTGGAGAAGTTCAGTTCCATAGTCAGGAACTATCTCTACTGTTCCTGCCTACTTTCTGTATTCGACTGAAGAAGCCTACTGTGTAGGCGAAACGTTTCGGAATAAAGTTGCCTAACTGTTGCCTATGTGGAATAGAGTATGTCAAGAGAATTACTTCCTTTAATATAGAACAAAAAGGCACAACACTGTGACTGGAAGAATACACAAATAACCTGCACATGTAAATGGTCCAGGTCGGACTGAAGCATTATAAACTTCTTTCTCCTATATGCAGGTTATTTGTGTATTATTCCTTGAATATAACCTGACAGTCTGATGACCATTTTGCCATGACACTTTAGAAATGAGATTTCAGATGGAATAAGTTGTTAGAGATTGATCATAAAATAATACCAGCAGCATTTATTATTACCAGAATCAGTACCTCATGATTCTCTTTCCTCTTGAATCGTGAAATCTCCTGCAGTACATTTGAAAAATAATACTAGCATTAATTATAGTAAGCAGTAGTCATAGGAGTGAATGAAGACAAATGGTTTTAATGGACTTGCTGTTGGAGTGTAACTGAGATAACTTTTATAAAGGGATTCAAGGAAACTGGTTAGTCAGACTTGAGTCCTGGAGGTGAGAGGGTCACTACTGGTACTCTGAAGGAGGAGTGGGGAATTTGCTGCCGGAGGGTCATTTTATTGTGTTTTTTTGTTTCAAGACTCTGCTTGTCTCCCACTCTGGTTGTCTCTCCTTCAGAGAAGAAGTAAACCTTATGAAACTTTTCTTCTTTTTACATTTAGTGATCTATACTGAAGGAGTCACACACACACACACACACACACAAACGCGCGCACACACACACACACACACACGTACATAGCTTTAAGCAGAGGTGTGATGGAGCTCACGGCTCAGGGAGGTTACTAGCCCCTTGCTCCTGTTATTGTGATGTCACCACAATTCTGGAAAGACTGCAGTTGAATGAATGATGGTGAATGTTTTTCTTTTATGGCTTTTTTTTGGGGAAGAAGTTCATCGAGTTAAGAAACCTTAGATCATCATCAGTTACTGTAAGTTGTGTACTATTTTAATTAGTCACAGAGTAATCAGTAGATCATGTCAACAAATCACAGAACAAGTGGGGTTTGAACTCGTGGTGAGTTCTAAAAGTCTAGGCCAGTGTCTGGAGTTTTACCACTCACTCACCATGGGTTCAAACCCCACCCATTGCATTGTTTGTTTGCAGTCATGTTATTACAGTCTCATGAGTCAGTATGTCTATCTGTTATCTAGTTTGGTCGACAGGATGGGGAGTTTGAGATTTTAAAAATGTCACATAATCACGTATTTTATGATTCATATTGTTTGCACATCCCTTCTCCACTCTGTATGAGAGAGACTGATAGAAAATATGGAGTAATTTGAGGTGATCAGTCCCTCAGCTATGATGAATCAATTAGAGATATTGGAAAATGTGTAATAGTAGTTTAAGGTGATCAGTCCCTCAACCTTGGAAGTAGGTGTTCAGTCCCTCAACCTTGGAAGTAGGTGTTCAGTCAATCAGTCTTGATGAATCTGATGGTCTGAACATCTTTCAAGGCTGAAGGATTGATCAACTCAGACTACTGCTTCACATTTTCCACCATCTACAACATAAGATAATAGATTATGCAGTCTATCACTGGATAATCTATTATCTGCTGTACTGAATTTCTCATTGTATAAATTATTGCCACACTTGGGGGCAATGAAATGTTACAATTTAATGTATACAGCAGTTGTTGTATTTAATTTATACAGTGGTTGTTGTATTTAATCTATACAGTGGTTGTTGTATTTAATCTATACAGTGGTTGTTGTATTTTCAGACTCCCCCACCAAATGCTAGACGGAAAATTGACCATTTCGGCACGGTTCCCCGTCAGCGAGAGGCGGGAGTGTGCGGAGAAAACAATCATGGAGCATCAGCAGCTGGCAGAGCTAAAGGCGTCATGTTCGGTAAAGGCTTCCACTTCCTTCCATTCCGTGTGGCGGGAAAACGGAGCACTTCGGCCCCCAATTTAGGTGACGGTGGTGATCATGCATGCGTGCAACCCTGCAACTCTTCCACCCCTTCCATGGCCACATTGATGTTGTAAAAAATGATGATATTGCAAATAATAAATGACATGGGTATAGGAGTACTGGAAATAGTCTTTAACGATACATTACTTTCTTTAAGGTGGGACTCTTAGATCATTTTTTTTTTTGTTTTTGTTTTGTTTTAAAGAACATTACCGAGTATGTACACAGTAAAACTTGGTATATTTTTTTCCTTCAATGAACCGGCTGTCTCACACCAAGGCAGGGTGACCCAAAAAAGAAAAACGGAAGTTTTTTTTCCAATACACTGGCTGTCTCCCACCAAGGCAGGGTGACCTAGAAAAGAAAGAAACACTTTCACCATCATTCACACATAATCACTGTCTTTTCAGAGGAGTGCAAATATGACAGTTCAGATGTCCCTCCAAACAGCTAATATCCCAAACCCCTCCTTTAAAGTGCAGGCACCATACTTCCCACCTCCAGGACTCAAGTCCAGCTAACCCTGAATCCCTTCACAAAATATTACCCTCCTCACTTACCCCACTTATGACTCACGAAATCGTAATGACACGATTGCAAACAGTGGCGTTAGCCACTGGACCAGCTAGCTGGTCCAATGGCTAACATGACAGTCTGGAGTTTTGAGACTCTCTGATCGTGGGTTCTATCCCCGCCCGTGGTATGGTTTGTTTACCCCACTTATATTGAAATTTTGTGAAAATTATTCTTTTCAAGAGTGGTCCCTTGATGCTAGTGAAGGGTTGTTGATGTAATAAATCAAGGGTAGCTTTCGTTTCCTTGGATCAGACTTGATTGCCTCCTGTATCCCAGGTGCTGCATGACTTTAGGGTTCAGCACTTCCCATTAATATTATCATCATTTTTTACTACAAATTTCCTTGAGAGTATCTTCGGTTATGAGATAATTAAAGATATATAGGAGTACCCCACATATACAGTACCTATTTCCTATGTTCTACATTTTCCTTGACTTTCAGCTGAACCGTTGTTCCAGCCACCACTGACTATCTCCAGTGGGCGGAACATAATGAACAATGGTGCGATTTGAGGTCAAAAGAAATGTGGAACTCTGAAAATAGGTGCTGTATATCCTGGGCCCTCCTAGAGTATCTAGAAAGGTATATCAATACTAGAGTATATAGAAAGGTATATCTATACTAGAGTATCTGGAAAGGTATATCTATACATATTGATCTCATAATCATTGTTACAATCAAGGTAACCTGCCAATCAGTATAGCATGAACTGTATGCAGGAGGCCTAAGTATCTTCAAACAATAGAACATTCACGTTATGCGTAACATGTAAATATTTGATGACTGTTGTGCTCTCATTATCTTATCTTCAGCATGATACATGATAATACAGTAGATAACTACAGTGTAATGAACACTTGCCAGTACTCACTAATGACCCACATGAAGACAGAAACTCAGAAGATTAATTGATCTGTATATTTCATGGGATCCTCTTCAGCTGCTGAAAAGGATACCAGAAGGGGACCGAAATATACAGATCAATTAATCTCCGGAGTTTCTGTCTCCATGTGGGTTTTTATTGAGCATAATACAGTAGATTGACATGAATGTATTTCAAGTATATATTTATATATATATTGCAAAATGATTTTATGCAATAGTTTAATCCCTTCTCTTGAAAATCTTTTAGCTATCAGGTTTGCTGCCACGCTGATACTGCCTTTGTGCCCAGTTGCATTTTCTGTTGCTCAACAGGGTTTATTATTGATAATAATTAGATAACTACAGTGTTGAAACTTGAGTTCTCACTTGGCTAACACTTGGATGTAGATTGAAACTCGAATTAATTTTATCTGTAATTTTGTTACCCTTTGTAGTGGTTGGTAAAAGGAAATGCCAGGGGGACCGATATCCAAAGGATGAAAACAACCGTGATTTTTTCCATGTGGGTTTTTTTATTGGCTATCATGAACATGAATGATTTCAGGTAAATCTTTATTCTATATATTAGCACAATATTTAATGCAATATTTACATCCCTTCTTTTTTTAAAAATTTCTTTTAGCTTTTTCTTGTTTTCTCTACCGGGGAAGTGGACTTTTGTCCCGACGGCCATTTTGTTGACACAAAAACACAGGTGTAGATTTTTATTACATAATTTAAATAAAAACTTTTGTTTTTCTTTTCCACCCGCCTCGAGGGATGGTGATTGTTAAAAAATTTTATAAGATTTGTTTTATTCTTTGAGGTATAGTATTATTTAAAACTTAAACACTATATGAATATGAAAAACTAGCATTGATTATAGCAAGGGAATATGGCAGATGATGAAAAGTTTCCATCATTACGAGTCACAGAATCATAATAACACTATTGAAACAAGCCACGGAACAGGCGGATATTGAACCCATGGTAAAGAGTTGCCATTACGACTCATGAAATCGTAATCAGTTACAATGGAGCAAAAATTGAGCCCAGGCCAGTGTGTAAGCCAGTGGCTTACACACTGACCTGGAGTTTTAGGGCTTGTCATGGATTCAGTCTCTACCTGTTTCATGGGTTGATGAAGAGTTGCTTGTTTTTTCTTAGTCATTTCTACCCAGCATCACTTTCAGCCATAGCTTGTTGCTGTGATCTTAAGATGCTGGAAGACCCCAGTTTATGACTTGCTTGTAAAACAGAAACAATTTTTCTATAGAACACAATACAGTGGACCCCCGGTTTACGATATTATTTCATTCCAGACGTATGTTTAGGTGCCAGTACTGACCGAATTTGTTCCCATAAGGAATATTGTGAATTAGATTAGTCCATTTCAGAACCACAAACATACACATACAAACGCACTTACATAATTGGTCGCATTGGGAGCTGATCGTAAACCGGGGGTCCACTGTATTACACTTTTTTTTTTCAACACGTAGGCCATCTCTCACCGGTGACCTACAAAGAGCAACAGTTTTTATTTTTAAATTTAGTAATTTATACAGAAGGGGATACAATAGCACATATAATAATTTTTATGCACATTTTAACTGTAGATTGGCAGATACATGTATAAAAATTTAATTGGGTGTTTATAAGATGGAAGCGTCTGTGCTATAGTAGTTTCAACTTCACAGTAGTTAATAGTTCTTAAATTTTAAAAGCCTAAAATGGAATTTTGTTTTACATTGTTTACAATGTGTATCTGAATTTTCCTTCTGCTTTTTTCATAAAATAATGTAATTCTGTGATGCTCAGATCAGGGTATGCATTTACAGGAGGGCCCCGCTTATACAGCAGGTTAGGTTCCGGGCTGCTGTAGGGCCCTGCTTATACAGCAGGTTAGGTTCCGGGCTGCTGTAGGGCCCTGCTTATACAGCAGGTTAGGTTCCGGGCTACTGTAGGGCCCTGCTTATACAGCAGGTTAGGTTCTGGGCTACTGTAGGGCCCCGCTTATACAGCAGGTTAGGTTCCGGGTTACTGTAGGGTCCCGCTTATACAGCAGGTTAGTTCCGGGCTACTGTAGGGCCCCGCTTATACAGCAGGTTAGGTTCCGGGCTACTGTAGGGCCCCGCTTATACAGCAGGTTAGGTTCCGGGCTACTGTAGGGCCCCGCTTATACAGCAGGTTAGGTTCCGCACTACCACTGTACAATGAAGCATAGCTTTTTTTTAACTTTCAAATGCATATAAAAGACTGATAACATATTTACGTTATCATATATTAAGTGAGCAGCAGAGCTAGGCCTTAAAAAGATGCATATACAGTACACACATTACAAAACATAAAATACCTATGCCCTTAGCTTATAGCGAGTGGTGAATATATTTATTGTAGGAAGTCTGAATAAATGAAGAATGGGTATACATAATTGAAAACTGCTGTATTAGTGAAATACCATAAAGTGAAGCGCTGTAAAGCAGGACCCACCTGTATTATAGTACGTCAAAATTTTCAGCTTCCCTGATTATTCAGGAGCAAAGCTGCTAGCGTCTATTATGCAGGTATTATTAGTGAGTGGATTTTGCATGGAGAGATTTTTTGAGAACTTATTTAAAAACTTGCAAGGCAGTAGAAAATTAATGCTTTATTTCTAGTAAGACTTGTTCCTTATTGCAGTAAAGCTTTAAAATTTTGCTTCATAAAATATAAATATGCTTTTTATGTCAATTGTGTTTATGATGGATGCGATTTTTATGTTAATTTTTGCTATGTCATGCTGTATACAGGTGGTCGTTCAGTTATGATGGGGTTACACTCTGACGAACCCATCGTAAGTTGAGTATGAATGTGATATATTAAATAAATAACTACTCTCACTGAATAAGTAAATGAGCAAATGATTAACGTAACTAAATACTGTATTTCGCGGCTTATTAGATGCATTTTTTCGATAAATGTCTCCAAAAGCCTCCCTGCATCTTATAAACTGAAGGTCAGTGTGGGGTGGGCTGTAGCTCTCCCAGTTATATCTGATGCCGAGCCATTGAAACTAAAATAAGTCTTATAAGCCACGTCTTATAAGCTGCAAAATACGGTACCTTTATTGAAAAGTAAATAAATGAATACAAGTTACGGACTTGCCGCCTTCATGCTGAGTAATTACCCTAGGTTTCATCTCCAAAGTAATTGCTTTTGCACCATTGTAAAGTCAAAATATCACAAGTCGAACCATGTTAAGTCGAGGAGCACCTGTATACGTATCCCCGATATTGTATATATTTCCCTTATACTGTATATATTTCCCCTATACTGTACATATTTCCTCTATACTGTATTTGCTAAATGCATGTTAGTTGTATTTTATTGAAGAGCATTTTGCATATGAAGAGCTTTGCCTGAGTTTCTTTGACATTGGTCATTTATACTAAAGAGTTCTGGTTAGATGTACAAAGCAATGTTAATTGATTTAAATAATGTATATTTTGGCAAGTCAGACCTCCTTATCCTCTGTCTATATTCATGTCTTTCAGTCTCGCTGATTGAAAATGTGTGG